AACTCTCTTTGATAATCGCAGTTCGAGACGTGAGATTAGAAATAAGCTTACTGAAGGTATTCGTGTCGGGGACGTATCACGTAATCGAATGGCGGTCAGAAACGGTCGGAATTATTTCTTCAGCGGTGGAGATTCCGAAACTCATTCCCGGGAAAGGTCAACAATCCAAAAAGAAATTCCGATAGAAACGAACGCCTATATAAATTGGCAAACTATATTATACACCTTGCAAGGAATTTACTTGTGCGGAATTCTCATGCAGATGTTCAACGATAATGGACAGGAAAATAAAAAAATTATGTAAGTGTATTAAGTTTTTAAATTATTTATTTATTTTAAATTTTGAATACACATAAATAAATTTCTGTTTTCTTCATATTACAGGAAGACGCGTTGGTGGTCCTCTACTTCTATGCCGAAACTGATTAAATTGGAGTAACTTATTAGTAACTTGTTATAAAATGAAAGTATTTGAAATATTATGCTTAATGTCACGTATTCTTCATTAGATATTTCAATTATTGTATAGTCTCTATTTAACTATTTGCTTTATTCAAGATAGACTTTTCCTGTTAAATATTTATAATTATATATACTAGTAAATATATGTAACGAGTTAAATTATTCCGTTTTTAATTTAAAAACAAAAGAAACCTAAGGTTTTATACCCGGAAAACTTCTTAAGCATTAGTTGACGTGATGGGTGAAAGTTCGCGCAATGGTACAAGTTCACGTGTAAAAACATTATTTACTCGGTGTCATAATGCTATTAAGGTATTAAAAACAACAGATGTATTTATTTATATATTGATTAGAACGTCAACAAAAAATATAGGTTGTATAATTGTAATAAATTAATCTTGGGGTAAAATAGATATACTTTCTATTAGGTCAAAACTAGAGCTGGTGCCAGGTCTTGGTTCAGCAGAAGTGGAGCTGGTACTTGTCATTGTTTCTTCGTTATCATAATCTTGACCATCATCATCATCACTGTTTTCATCACCCGAGTCGGTATCGTCGTGATAAGTCGACATAGGGCGCATCGGTGTAAACTATCGGTCTTCTTTCTTGTCTATATTCGTAGTAATCGTATCTTATTTTCTTCAATTACCAGTTTCCGATTATTTCCTGTTTTTTCCATCTGAAGCCTAGCTCTTTCATAATTCGTCGTAAACTTCGTTCCGAGCCAGTAAAATTTATATCTTCTTTAAAAATTTCGAAGCCTTTCTACGGTACGGAGTTTCGCTGCTTGTTATGTGGCTATTATGAATACATCTCTTTATTACAAATTGATCAAAACTATCCATTCCGGTAATTTTCTTCTTCCCTGATCTTTTCTTAGCCGGAGTCCGAAACACGGCGAGCAAGCCAGAGCCCTTAGCTTCGTTAATAATGCACCTAACAGTACTCACTGATGTTTTTGTTGCTTCCGAAGCCCGTTTTACTGTTTCCATATCATTCTTTCCCTGTTTTATAATGAAGCAATATACGTCGTATACCTACCATTTTACTAGTTTGTCTTTTTAATACTACACCAGTTTGTTGCGGCATAGTCTATTTTTTAGAAATAATCAACAAACACTCAACGAATAGCAATGGCAACAAAGTCAACAAGCAATTATAACAAATAATTTCGACGATTAATAACGATAGACTTTTCACTGTACGCAAGTGTACTTTTGGGAGCAAGCGGAACGAGGGCGCGGTGTGGGGCGCAAGGTTCCACTGATCTACCAATAGCGCGCTCGATACAATATCCTCTGCCGTCGCGCCCCGCCCTCACCACCAAAGTTATCTAAAATTCGGTTCTGCGCAGTCAAGGTAATTTGCTCAAGAAGTTTTCCGGGTATTATACCATTCGAAATTCGAGAAGATCTACGGAGCGCAGGCATTAGTTGAGACAGAGAGTTCGAAATCTTAATTGTATTTTATAACAGCTTTATTACTTACTCTTCAAGCTAAATGGCATGATGGGTTTGCGACAGAAATAATTAGTGATTGTGATAGTTAAGTATTAAGTTTCACATTACACCCTTCCAAATAGATTCATGGAAGTTTGAAGGAATTCGTGAATAGAGAGAGTATACTTTATTGCCCGTCGACACTTATGTAATTAACATTGAAAATAAGTCAACGGTGGTCTTATCACCAAAATAATCTCTTCCAGACATCCTTTATCAAGTAAAATGTCGGAAAATTCAGGTCTCGATTCCGATCCTGTAGCAGATTCTGGGAAGCATTACTCTTGTTAGGTCAACTATTAGCATACATTCAGGTCAAGCCCCCTGAGCTCACCTACCAGTCACAGCATAGTTAGAATAACCCCTTAGGCTACCACTGAATAGGTAGGGAAAAAATATATTCAGAGATCTATTGGATAGATCTTTAAGCCTTTTCACATACCTTTAAACTATAAACGGATCCTCAGGGTGGCGGCGACAATTGAGACAATTTACATCCACACGAAATAATATATTCTCTTTAGTACACGTTATGGTGGGTAGAATACGAATGCCACCGAGATATGCTAACCGCCGGTATTTATACAATCATCTTGACCTATTTTAATACAAACTGAGTAGGTAATATTAAACATTGTTCATCTTAATTATTCTGCTGATTATTTACGTACAATTATTATTTAATAATATCGAATTATGTAACAAATAACATTAAGGTTTATTGCGCCGGAAGCTGTCAAGCGGAAGGNTTACTCGGTGTCATAATGCTATTAAGGTATTAAAAACAACAGATGTATTTATTTATATATTGATTAGAACGTCAACAAAAAATATAGGTTGTATAATTGTAATAAATTAATCTTGGGGTAAAATAGATATACTTTCTATTAGGTCAAAACTAGAGCTGGTGCCAGGTCTTGGTTCAGCAGAAGTGGAGCTGGTACTTGTCATTGTTTCTTCGTTATCATAATCTTGACCATCATCATCATCACTGTTTTCATCACCCGAGTCGGTATCGTCGTGATAAGTCGACATAGGGCGCATCGGTGTAAACTATCGGTCTTCTTTCTTGTCTATATTCGTAGTAATCGTATCTTATTTTCTTCAATTACCAGTTTCCGATTATTTCCTGTTTTTTCCATCTGAAGCCTAGCTCTTTCATAATTCGTCGTAAACTTCGTTCCGAGCCAGTAAAATTTATATCTTCTTTAAAAATTTCGAAGCCTTTCTACGGTACGGAGTTTCGCTGCTTGTTATGTGGCTATTATGAATACATCTCTTTATTACAAATTGATCAAAACTATCCATTCCGGTAATTTTCTTCTTCCCTGATCTTTTCTTAGCCGGAGTCCGAAACACGGCGAGCAAGCCAGAGCCCTTAGCTTCGTTAATAATGCACCTAACAGTACTCACTGATGTTTTTGTTGCTTCCGAAGCCCGTTTTACTGTTTCCATATCATTCTTTCCCTGTTTTATAATGAAGCAATATACGTCGTATACCTACCATTTTACTAGTTTGTCTTTTTAATACTACACCAGTTTGTTGCGGCATAGTCTATTTTTTAGAAATAATCAACAAACACTCAACGAATAGCAATGGCAACAAAGTCAACAAGCAATTATAACAAATAATTTCGACGATTAATAACGATAGACTTTTCACTGTACGCAAGTGTACTTTTGGGAGCAAGCGGAACGAGGGCGCGGTGTGGGGCGCAAGGTTCCACTGATCTACCAATAGCGCGCTCGATACAATATCCTCTGCCGTCGCGCCCCGCCCTCACCACCAAAGTTATCTAAAATTCGGTTCTGCGCAGTCAAGGTAATTTGCTCAAGAAGTTTTCCGGGTATTATACCATTCGAAATTCGAGAAGATCTACGGAGCGCAGGCATTAGTTGAGACAGAGAGTTCGAAATCTTAATTGTATTTTATAACAGCTTTATTACTTACTCTTCAAGCTAAATGGCATGATGGGTTTGCGACAGAAATAATTAGTGATTGTGATAGTTAAGTATTAAGTTTCACATTACACCCTTCCAAATAGATTCATGGAAGTTTGAAGGAATTCGTGAATAGAGAGAGTATACTTTATTGCCCGTCGACACTTATGTAATTAACATTGAAAATAAGTCAACGGTGGTCTTATCACCAAAATAATCTCTTCCAGACATCCTTTATCAAGTAAAATGTCGGAAAATTCAGGTCTCGATTCCGATCCTGTAGCAGATTCTGGGAAGCATTACTCTTGTTAGGTCAACTATTAGCATACATTCAGGTCAAGCCCCCTGAGCTCACCTACCAGTCACAGCATAGTTAGAATAACCCCTTAGGCTACCACTGAATAGGTAGGGAAAAAATATATTCAGAGATCTATTGGATAGATCTTTAAGCCTTTTCACATACCTTTAAACTATAAACGGATCCTCAGGGTGGCGGCGACAATTGAGACAATTTACATCCACACGAAATAATATATTCTCTTTAGTACACGTTATGGTGGGTAGAATACGAATGCCACCGAGATATGCTAACCGCCGGTATTTATACAATCATCTTGACCTATTTTAATACAAACTGAGTAGGTAATATTAAACATTGTTCATCTTAATTATTCTGCTGATTATTTACGTACAATTATTATTTAATAATATCGAATTATGTAACAAATAACATTAAGGTTTATTGCGCCGGAAGCTGTCAAGCGGAAGGCGCCAATAAAATATAAGTATAAAGAAAATATGAATGAACTATTTACTTGATTATGTAATTACTAATTATATTATAAGAATAATAAGTTCTATATATTTCCTAAGTTCGTAAATAATTTATTATGTGAGGCCGGAAGTGTTGCTCGATAACAAAACATATTCTTGAACACTGAATGAAAAATTTAAAGTTGTTTTAGTTGTCGATATGTTTATCAAGAGGTACTGTTTCACTGTACTGCAGTGTTAAAGAGATAGAAGCCATCAAGCGTCGCAGTTAGAGAAGGTTGGGCGATAAAATGTTTGCAAAGAGGGCAGAAATAAAACAAACACTGAATCTTTTTAATAATACACGATTTCTTTACTGCTTAACAGAATACAATTCAGAATTTATGCTGAGTTTAGTTTATAAATCCATTATATCAGTTTTCTTACGCTGCTGTCCTTCATACCAAGCCTTGGAGATCATTCTCTTCATTTCATCATCACCAGTTTCATACCTGGAAATTAAATAAATTACCCATGTATTAGAACATAAGAGTAATGATGTTAGAGTATAGTTGTTCTAATTTTTTTTTGTTTAAGATGAGAATGACATTAACAACACAAATGGTCCCCATTAAGCCTGAAAATTAAATGAGAAATACATAAAAACCATATTGGTCATCATATAAACATTGTTAAATGTTTTTCAATCTCAAACAACAAAATCATATACTTATAATACTGATTTGAGGTATCCTCAGGCATCTGTTAGCATAAAGTAGTCTTCATTGGAAAGGAACCAAGAAAGTTTGGAGTAACCTCTTAGAGTATTGATGTTAAAGATACATACATACCATTAATGTAGTATTAAGTATCCATTCATTTCTAGTTAAATAAATAGTACTCACATATTCTTCATGAGACTCATTATGGAATCTTGTGGATCTTTCTTGTCAGTTTCGGCAGGTTTCAAGCGGTTATTACGTTGGTCTTCAAATTTTTTTTCAATTTCAGTCATATGAGACCATGTTGTGTTTGGATTAGATTTTGCAAGGAATATCACTACCTTATCTGCAAAAAGAAATGTTATTATTGTCAAATGCCTTATTAGCATAGATATTCTTTTGTTATTTGAGCCATTTTAAATAACAAATGAAGCATGTTTGAAAAGGTAATCGTCAACAATGTGAATGAAAAACCAGAGTATATGTATATTTTTTATTAATTAATTATATTTATTACCTGTTTTTTGTTTCCAATGACTGTCTGCCACATTTATAGGTTCCAATAACTTGTTAATAACAAGCAAGTAATCTTTATTTTCCAGATTGTCCACATGCAGCTCCATTGATTTATCTGTCAATTTACAATATACCTGTTCCTTTGGTAGTGTATGAACATTCTTTAGTTCAACAAATACCTTAACAAATTTATCTGACTGGTCCCAACCTACAAATAAAAAATTTGATCATTACGATTTCATTGTAATATCCACAGTTTAATAGGTAAATTTGAGAAAAAATAAATTAATTATATGAGGTGAATGAGCTTTTGTCCCACCTGATGGTGAAAAAGTAGTTGCTGTTCAGAGGTAGCAATTTGAATGCTGCATATATCTTGAGACATGAGGTCAAATTCTCAACTGTATTGTAAACTATCTTACTCTTCAAACCAGGAAGAATTACTGGTCTGCTACAGAAATAGACCAGATGTTGGTACTTTATATAGTAAGGTAAGTACCACGACCCTATCTATTTCTGCTTTGAAGAAGTAATGCGTTTTGGTTTGAAAGCCTGGGCAGCTATTGTACAATAGAAACTGAAAATTAGAACTTATGTCTCAAGGTGGGTCGAGGCATTAATGTTGTTGATCTTTATGGGGTCCGGTAGCCACATAACACCAATGGAGCATGAACTCATTCACTAATGTAAGCTATAAAAAAAACATGATGTTTTATAATGTACCTTACTAGCATTTGCTCATTCGCAGCTCTTTATTGCCTTTTACAACATTTACAAAAATAGATGGGGTGGTGCTATTCTACACTGATATAACAGGGGTTCCCAAACCCATTTTGTCTACTGCCCAGTTTGAGAATAAATTATTTTTTAGCGCTCCCATTTTTTACCTACTTAAAAACCACTATAACCTATAACTCAGCTGGTGTTTAGTAGTCTTCCTAGATGAAATTACAAATTGCCTCCCAAGCCCCTACACAATGCCCCCATTTTTTTCTGGGTCTCTCCCTGCCCCCTTTGAGCCTACAGTGTCCACAAGGGGGCATTATCGCCCACTTTAGGAAAGGCTGCTCTACAAAGTAATTCAAGCTAGTCGCGATTTGGGTTTTTTATTACTTCTCATAGGATAAAACAATTGAGCTTGTATTGAGTCTATTTATAGTCTCTCTATGTAAGATATTTAAGACCTTTTTCAGGTACAGACAATGTTATCAGTTTGCAACATATATGTACTTACTTAGCTTTACATATAATATTTATATACATATATATTTTTAAGCTATAAGAATTAATAGGTGAGATAGACCATTTATGCAGAACATTCTGATAAACACACATTATAGACTCACTTATTTATGGATTTAGGGAACTTATCTCTTTTCGCACAAGGTTGGCTATAGGAGCTGTAAATAACAAGTCTCATATAAAGAGACTTCTAGATATATTAATTTGATTTACTGTTATTGGTGGTAGGACCTCTTGTGAGTCCGCGCGGGTGGGTACCACCACCCTGCCTATTTCTGCCGTGAAGCAGTAATGCGTTTCGATTTGAAGAGTGGGGCAGCCGTTGTAACTATACTGAGATCTTAGAACTTATATCTCAAGGTGGGTGGCGCATTTACGTTGTAGATGTCCATGGGCTCCAGTAACCACTTAACACCAGGTGGGCTGTGAGCTCGTCCACCCATCTAAGCAATAAAAAAAAAAAAAAAAAAAAAATTTGATTCTAAATTACTGACCATATACATTCAATTTGACTTGATACTTCTTTTGCACTGGAGCTGATGTACTTGTTGTGGGTATTGGTGATACTTCCATGGGCGTCAAAGTTTCCTTTTCTTTTAATGTTATTAGTTCTGTCTCAAGTTTTCTGATCTCCAAGGAGAGTAAATCCTGTACTTTCTTACGTTTAGCTTGCTTTAACAGATCATTGAACTCTTCGATATCGCTTCTTATCTGGAAAAAATGCAATGAAGGTTACATTGAATTTCCATTCATTGTCTTTAATGCCAAATGATTTATTGAATGTAGCGATGGTTGATTATTACCTCTTGTATTTTTGCTTCTGACATTTTGATAAATGAACAGTTTGTTTGTATGCAAATGTGCAAATCTTTTGAAATCACAATTTATGCACGTTAATCAGCTATTTTGAAGTCCAGTAACATAGATTATTTATAATATAGCAGTAAGCCAGTGATCTCGAGCTCTCTTTTTTTTTTTATTTTTTATTTTATGACCTGGTGACAGAGACCTTTAGGTCATATCTTATTTGGAAAATGTTCATTAGTTTGGGGTCACTACACTTCACTTCACTAAATTTTGTCATCTAAATTGTTTGAATTGTATTTTTTATGTAATTATAAATTGGTTTATAGGATGTTGGATCTTTTAGTAAAAAGTTAAGTGGCGGCGGGCGGGAGGAAGAGACACACTTAAATGCATTGGTATCACTAAGTTCACTAGCCAGCACAAGTCTTTGAATTAAGAAACTTTGGCAATCGAAAATAATGTGATGGATCGTCCCTTCTTCTGCTTGACAGTGTATACATTGGTTATTTGAAACAATGCCAAGTCTTGCTAGGTGTGACGGCGCAGTATTATGGCCAAATCTCAATCTGTTTATTGTTGTGATGAAATCTCGACTTTCACTAGTTTTCAATTTGTCATACCATGGTTTAACAGGCAGGTTATCTTGGATACTTCCATACCACTTTCCCTTGTTTTCCTGATCTTTCTTCCACAATTCCGTCCACAGAGTGTAAATGCTTTCTTTAATATTTAGAAAATAGTCAGTGAAAGGTACGAGTAATGAGTTTGTAACGTCAATACTGTTTATCGAGCGCTTCCACGGTCAGGCTTTGTCAGCTTTTTCATCTGGCGCGTTATGGCCTCTTATGTGAAGGAACCCCACATAAATTGCTCATATTTACCTTCTTATGATGATACTTTATACAAAATCTTCTTTTTATCATATACAGACGTAATTAGTTTTATAATTTAACAGAATACGTTAGCTTAAACTCCTCTAGCGCAGGCTTAAGATCTGTTATCATTAAAAAAGTTTTTACAGCTGATTAACCGACAGAATTCGCAGCTAAGGACGTTGTAACAGCACTAAGCGACTGCAGTAATAATGGAACAAGATTCATTCAAACAAAGTTGAGAAAACTAGCTTTGAATCATAACCATGCTGCAATGCACATAATTATTACCTTTTGCTGCGCATCGTATATATAGTGTGAATCAGTATTTTGTGACAGAACGAATCATGATCAGTAATTGCTTTTAATTGTAACTTGGATTATACTCACTGATATGAAACGGAGTGATAAGCTATAGCAGTAAAATGGGCCAAAAGGGGAGCTGTTTTCTCGATCTTTTTCATCACTTATAATGCTAAATTTCCAAATACACTTATGGAGCAAGGTGGTGTAATTTGTTAAGCGTTATTCCAGTTAAAATGAAGCGAGGAGTGAGTCAAGGATGGTGCATTTCTTTGAAAGCTATTGGCTTGATTACTTAGAAGATCGTCATATTTGAGACAGTATCTGTGTGCAAGTAAGAGACGTCTCAAGATTAATGGCATAACTTTAGTCTCAACTTCCATGGCCCTTATGGGAGTTGAGCACATTGCACCGGATATTATTGTCAAAGCTCTGTTCTGTAATATATCAAGTTTACTTGCATGTGGGCTATTTTCAAAT